GTTTTCTCTGATGCACTAACTCTGCAGCAGCACTTCTTCTTCATCGTCTCGTCTGATGCGCTCACTCCACCAAGCGTTCTAACCACAACCTCGCCCCTCCCCACCCCCCAACCATTCGAATTATTTTTAATGATATTCTAATGGCCCGCTTTGTGATATCACAAAGCCCGGAAACCAACGCTGTAGTCCAAACGAGCTGTTCGTTGTAGTTCTTGAAAAGGGATTTTTAAAAAAACGAAATATCTCCCTTTGGAGTGGACTTTGAGATTTGTAACTTTCTAGATCTTTTTTATGCCCAAACATACACACTACACACTGACTAAAATTAAAAAACTGAAAAAGCATAATAGGACCCCTTTAAGATTTAAGAATCGATAATAGTTCATTAATATTGATATTGTTAACACAGCTGACATGTTTGCATGTTGTAGTTTATCCATGTTGTGTGCGCAAAATAGATGCTGAGAAAATCAAAACACATCATTGAAGAGGCACAAATTAAACGTCACAGTTTCGGTCAGTGTATTTGGCCTTCGAAAGCCATTCTGGCTGGACAAGTAAACATCATAGTTTAAGTTCGTCATAAAATCATTATTTATTCATTCAAGTTGCTTACTGATATTTGTACTTTTTCTTGCAGGTTTTTTTTTTTTTTTTCTAAATCGAGTATTTATCTTTCGTGGTTTATATTTGTCTCTTTCTAGTTTGGACCATAGACATCCTTTAAGAATCACTCCAGGACTGAGAAAATGTAAGTCTTTTCTCTCTTACACACATCTCTAAAAGTATCCCTCATGTAATTCTCATCTTTCTTCTTGTGTTCAGATGCCTGTGATCTCACACTGGATCCAAACACGGCACACACTCAGCTCATGCTGTCTGAGGGGAACAAAAAGGTGACACATGTCGAAGAGAAGCAGTCGTATCCTGATCATCCAGACAGATTTGATTACTATAAGCAGGTTCTGTGTCGACAGAGTCTGACTGGACGCTGTTACTGGGAGGTTGAATGGAGCGGATTTAAGGCTGATATAGGAGTGTCATATAAAGGTATCAGCAGGAAAGGAGAGATTGACTGTTGGTTTGGATACAATGACAAATCCTGGAGTCTCTTCTGCACTGATAATGCGTTCACTTCCTGGCACAATAATGTGAACACTAGCATACCAGTCCCGTCACAGCCCTCTAATAGAGTAGGAGTGTATCTGGACTGGTCAGCTGGCACTCTGTCCTTCTACAGCGTCTCTGACACACACACACTCACACACTTACACACATTCAACAACACATTCACTGAACCCCTGTATGCAGGATTTGGGGTTTTTTATAATAACTGTTCAGCATATCTGTGTCAAATTTAACAACTTAGACCTGAGAACAACAAAGAAAATTTCTCAGTAGTCGTATGACGCCTGTCCCTTCATCCTTTAATAGAGTAGGAGTGTATGTGGATGTGTCGGCCAGCATTCTGTCCTTCTACAGCCTCTCTGACACACACACACACACTCACACAATATATTTGAACTTCAGCATTCCCTTTTTACATGGCGACACATCAAGCTTGTCATATGACGATATGGCAGTCGTGGCCTAATGGCTAGAGAGTCGGACTTGTAACCCAAGGTTGCGGGTTCGAATCTCAGGTCCGGTCGAGTTTGTAGGTAGGGGGGGGAGTGAATATACAGCGCTCTCTTCAACCCATAATACCACGACTGAGGTGAGACCCTTGAGCAAGGCACCGAACCCCCAACTGCTCCCCGGGCGCCACAGCATTGGCTGCCCACTGCTCATGGTGTGTGTGTTCACTACTGTGTGTGTGCACTTGGATGGGTTAAATGCAGAGCACAAATTCCACCATACTTGGCCACACTTCACCTCACTCACTCACCTAAATCATATGCACTCGCCTTCACAATGGAGCTGCACAACTGATTTACAAGTATTTTTTTTTTTTTTACCCTTTTTATTCAAAACATTTATGAACTTAAAATTATAAAATGCGATATACCAAGCTCAAATATGTCTTAAGTAAATGTATTTTATATGCAGTGTTGGGTAAGTTACTAAAAAAAAAGTAATCCACTACAAATTACTTATTTAAAATTGTAATTTGATTACTGATTACTAGGGGTGACCCCGAATAGTCGACGATTCGGTGCTTCGATAGGAGGAGCCTGATTCAACTACCAATCTCACAGTCGAATATTCGCGGGGTGTTATGATCATGCCATTGTGGCTTTATGGGGGTGCTCAAATATCTGATTTCACATAGAACTACTGGTTTTCTCCCAATATGTTAATATACAAGCCTATTAAATAATGCTGTAAATAAGAATCTGAAAAGAAACAAGCTTCAAATAAATATTTTATCTTGCGTGAATAAATCCAACCACCCCTATAGATTTAAATTTAACTTTCTATAGTCCGTGACCGACAGAGGAGCATCTTGGCGGCAGGGATTTTAGACTTTAACAAGACTCAAACTGACACAGGCAGAGTGAAAGACTGGATTTTTTCGATCAGGTAGGGTACAAGTGATTTCAAAACATTTCAGCCGGTTTATATATATATATCGTGCAGTCATTCTTGAGAAGTGGGACAAAACGGTGCAAAATTGAAAAAATAAAACCTCGTACTCAGACAAATGAAACTGCATTGATGTATCTTATATGTACTAAGCTACTGAGCTATGCTTTGATACAACCTCCCAACTTTTCTCTTTTTTAACAAAATGTGCTTTTTTACCTTGGACTGTGTAATATAATTTCAGCTTTATCTTTAACAGCATTCAAGATGTTTTTAACATTTCAAAACACATTCTCGTGTTAGCAGACAGATTACACTTTCACATGTGACCAATAATTCCACAACAAATATAAAATATAATGAAATATTATCAAAATATTCAACTGACAGAGCTGACAGAACTGACGGAGTTGACACATCTGACGGAGGTGACGAAAACCTGAATTTGTAATAATTTTAACTATCAAATACATTGAATCAGTCAATTACTGTATTAAAACAAACACAACAAACAATCCCTCATGACATTTAAAATTGAAAATATTTTTATTTTTTAAAGCTAATAGCAGTTACCCTTGCTGGACCTGTTTTGTCCCACGTCTCAAGAATGACTGGTATATATTATTTATCTAGTGTAAGATGCATTTGGTTGAGTTGCGCTGCAGTAAAGCACTTGTAGTACTACGGTGATTATCGCTTTAGCGCGCAGGGCGAGCAGGACAAACAACAATGCAGAATATTAATAACTATGTCTGGGACTGTCATATACATATAATGAGAACACTATTATAATAAAACGCTGTGAATTTTTAGAGTTTAGTTGCCGTGTTCCGCGCAGACATGTTTGCTTTCGGGGCATTTTGTGCAGATATCCTATAAATCGTTATATTAACGTTATGTTGTATAAATAACAAAGCGTTATCTATATGAGATAAATGATGAGTTAAATCCCATTGATTAAAAACCTGCTGCTTCATTCTACTGGTCATCTTCTGCGCGCGCAGCTCAAAACAGAAATGCAGGATATTTATAACTACTGTCATATACATAACGTTATAATGAGAGCACTATTGTAAAAAGTGTTTTGAATTCTTAGGGTTTCGCTGACGTTTAATGTTTATGTTTTAATCAAAACATAAAACATAATTTACCCCATTTGTATCTGCGAGGCATCCGTTACACATTTTCCCTGTGTGTTAACGTAATTATGACTGTTGAATGTCTAACTTGACTCTTGGTAATGTATTTTGCCCTGCCCCCAAAACATATGATTCGACTATCCGTCGACTATCGGCAAGATTCGAACATTCCAATTCAACTATGAAAATCCTTAGTCGGGGACACCCCTACTGATTACTGCATTTAAAAAGTAATCAGATTACAAATTACTTTACTTTCAATTTACTTTCAAGTTTACTTTTCAAGTTATCAAACCTAAAAAATACACTACAAAGTGAAACTCATAGCTATTTCATTAATTTAATATTGACTGAAAAATTACATAAGTGTTATTTGTATAGGCTACACTCGCATAATCAACAAAACCTTTTTTTTTTTTGGTTTTGTAAAATAAAGAAAACAAATAGGGTGTGCTTTCTGCGTTCTCAGTCTCCGTGAATATCTTCCTGAAACGAGTCACTAAAATGAACGAAATGAAGTCATGTTGAAAACAAAGAAGACGCGTTGTGAGGAATAAGCCTTGAATTTACTTCAGAAGAAGAATGCGATGTGACGCGGCTTAATCCAGCGGAGAATCTCATGCTGATGAGTCATTTATTTTTCCTTATAAGTGTTACTGTGACATAAACTTGTACACATTCATTTGTTGAACTTTTCCCAAACTATAATGCCAGACTAAAATATGTGAAATTGAGTGCAACATTTTGAAATATGATGGGCAACATTTCATTGCATCTAAATGTTGTAGTACTCGTAGGGATGCGTACCGAAACCCGGTATTTAATCGGTCTCGGGGCTAAATTATAAAAGACCGGAGTATCGATAAACTCTGACTTTTAACGGTTCTGCTATTGGTACTGGAGAAATGAAGAAAACAAACATACATTTATTATTGCTATATATATATACACTATCTTGCAAATTCTATCTCACCAGAGTTGCCAGCTGTTTTTATATGCAATAATATTCAAACATTTGTCTATGATGCATTTTTGCTTTTCGCAATTCAGAAGCGAGATCGCGCTCGTGCAGAGGAGCTTCCACACGCGCAACATGAAAGCCCTGCTTAATTATGATAGAGAAGAGAACTAAACATTCAAACGTCTGCTTACACTTTAGGCCTGTGGCTGTTTTATTAAGCTAATTACATTTTTTTATTTCGATTTTGGCTTCGATTTTTGGCTTTGGGTTTTACATTCATTTCATTAAATATTTATCTTACATTTCAGAATATAAAGCAATGTTAATTCCAGTATATACTTGACTTTTATTTTGATATTCATTTTGGGCTGTGAATTGAATTTCCTCCTAGTCCACCCCTGACTTCCTGTTTAAGAGGAAGTAAGCCACATTAGTTTGGTGTTTACTGCAAGGTGCCCATGCAGTTCCTAACATCCAAGTCCATCTTACCTTTCACAGCCTATTGAGCTGTAATGTCTGTAAGTAACTGTTTGATCATGATGTGAGGTTGTAATTCTTCTTTGTATTTTCAGTAGGTTTGGAATTTTCTCCTTATTTTCTAAAATGTTTATTTGTGTTGATATACAACTTTATTGCATCGTTGGCAGGGCAGGACTTACGGGGCCGGGGGCCCCTGGGCTTGAGGTTATGTTTGGGCCCCATACCTATACT